AGAATGTTCATAGTAGCTAATTCATAACAGTAAAAAATACCACTCAAAGTAAGAGAAGACAGCGTGATTAAGAAATGGCACAGTTCTGCAAGTAATGCTAACACTGAGGAAGGGAAAACTGTATAGTTTGAAAAGGCGATTCTGATACAAAATTGATATCCTTAGAACATCTCATGCTTCCAATAATCAACTTACTAGGTGAGCAATTAAAGCACACACACACACATGCACACACAACTAAAGAACACAATTTAAGTGAATGGTTTCTGATGTAAGGTCAAAAATTGGCTCCTAGGGGGCATCCCTACCACTGCTCTACTCTGGGGTTTCTGTGCCAGCCTGTGAAGGCTGGAGGGCACAGCATCCAGCAGCACCAAATCAAGGACCACGCTGAGGTCACTCTGATAGGGCTTACATGGCTTCCTAGGGCCACAGATTTCCCTTTCTAAACAAATTCAGTTGACTGAGGTTAATTTGGTATGTAGTTAGAACCACACAAATAACTACTGACCTAGGGTCAGCATGTATATGTATATACAGAAAGAGGCAGAATTTGTTATTATTACTTCTAATTTAGTGTATGACAATCATCAACCGTGGAATCCACAAATGTGATTTAAAAAATCATTTGTAATTAATAAAATTCTAAGATAGGAAACTGTTAAACCTTTTCCAAGAACATCTAATTTTATTTTGAAATAAACTTGCTTTATTAAGAGAAATACACGAGGGTGGGGGAAAAGGAGAAGAGTACGAAGAGGGGAGGAGAAGAGAGGGAGAGGAAGGGGTGGGGAGAGAAAAGAGAGCAAGAAGAGAGGAATGGAGAACGCTTTTGGGAGGACACTATACATGCATTTTCCCCAAACGGTCTCGGTCTGAAGATCTCACAACCACAAAAGTAAATCTAGGCATTAGGTCTTTTCATATTCTTATCACAACCTTCAGTTTCTCTAGGAACTTTCTCCTTTTCTGTTCACCCTTCTCTGGCTGGTACCTCAAAATACTAACTAATATACTTTTTCTGGGTGAGGGGCGGGGGACACTGACAGGCAGTACTCAAAGGTTTATTTCTGGTTCTGCACTCAGGGATCACTCCTGGTGGGACTTGGGGGTCCATAATGAGACTGAACCTTGGGTGACTGTGCAAAGCTAATGTAGTATTGCTCTTGCCCTCAATGCTATCTAATTTTAACTTAACAAGTAATAATCATTCAGATCAGAAAAATATACCCTCAAAAATTACTGACTTATGGTTTGAGTCTATAAGACGTAAAAAAAATTAATAAAGCAGGACTCAACTCACTGTTTTACTTGTGAGAGATAACAATACTTTTAATCAAATAAAAGACAGTATTAGGTCTTAAAAGCATTCTTGGGGGTCAGAGTGATAGTCCAGTGGGTAGGGTGCTTGCCTTGCATGTGGACTACCGGGATTTGACCCCTGGCATCCCATATAGTTTCCCTAGTCAGCCAAAAGTGATACTTGAGCACAGAGCCAAGAGTACACCCTGAGTACCACCAGGTGTGGCCCCAAAACAAATGGAAAGAAAAACAAAAGCCAAGCAAAACCATTCTTGAAGAATGTAACACTTTATATGCCAGCATAAGATACAGTGGAAAGCTGTCATTACACAGTTTAAACCCTAAATTTTACCTAATTTTACAAGTAATTTACAAACATCCTCTTAATTCAACAGTCACTTGAGAGACCATGAAGTCTAGTTTTGTGTTTTTCAACTATGCCAAGTCATTCCTGTCCCTGCCTTAGTCAAACAAAATTTCCCTTTCTACTCACTAAAATACACCAAAGAAGACAATTACCCTACATTCTATATGCTTTTGCAACTGGCAATTTCCCTTCTGACCTGAAGCTTCTTAATTCCTCATCTTCTACTTTGGACAGTCTTCATGTAAATAGATAAATCAGCTTTCATTGACAAGTACTGGGGTCTCAAGTGAGTCTTTGGCCACATGTTTTCTATGGGAGAGAAATCTGTTTGAAATCAGTTGGGCAGGAAAAGGCATTCACAAGAATTCTAAGATTCCTGCAGGAAGCAGTTGGCCCAGATCAATGTGTGCTTGTTCCCAGCATGTAACAGCGGCAGAAAGAATGGAATGACAGCAGAAAATGGAACAATCCAGGATCTAGGGCTGCTGGGACACTGTGTCCTGATCTCCTGTCCATAGCAGGTAGGGGACAACCCTCCAGCCCCCAGAAGTGAGACTGATGCCAGGAGCACCCAGGGCTACAAACTGTGCTACAAAAGCTCTACAAAGTGGAAGGAAGAAGGGCTCTGGCAAATAGAAATTAATTTCCTAACATTACAAGCTTATCTCTGTATCACTAAAGTTATATTTCCTCTAAAATGCTTTTTTTTTAAAAAAAGGAATGATTTAAGAAATGTTTTTTGAAAATTGAAGGATTGTTAGAAGGAGAATCATGAAACTCTTCTGAATTCCAAGAGTATACTTTTTTGTTTGTCTTCATTTTGCAGTGCCAGTGCTCGGAGCTAACTCCTGACTCAGGAATCAATCATGATGGGACTCAGGGATCACATCTGGGTTGGCTGCATGCAAGGCAAGCACCCTGCCTGCTGCACTCTCTCCAGCCCTCCCCTCCCCCAAGAGAACATTTTATTACACTTTATTCTTAAAATATATTGTAACTTTCTCAATTAGTTTTACTGAATGGCCAAACCTGACTTTTCTATCAAGTTTTTGGTGCTAATTTCAAGAAAAACTATTAAAAAGATCTGAAAACAACCCTAAATTATGAGATTATTTGGAGAATTTATAGTAGTTGAACAAGGAAAACTAAATGGATGCAGTCCTTCTGTTATTTTCCAGTAGAAATCTGATTTTTTATCCATTAACACCATCTACTACTATAAAACTCATAGACACTGTCAAGATAGGGTGGAATCACTATAATGACTGTCATTATACAACAATGTTAGGGCTGTATATTGCCATATATAAGAGACGACCTTCAATAGCAACCATTACCAATAAGGAGGCATCCACTGAAGAATAAAATTGGAAAAGGAGCACTATTTGCTTATAACTTAATGATAAAGTTTAGTCCATGTGAGAAATCAGTAGTATTCTTAATACTGTTCCTAAATAAATCTAGAGTTTGTGCAATAAATCTGTGATGATAATATCAGTTTCCTATACTATTCCCTGTCTGCAAAAGTTTCACACTAAACCCATTTCTTGTAAATAATTTTATAGCAATTTTATTGAAAATGTACTATTATTATGATTATTGCTGGATCAAACCCAGGTGTCATGCACACAAGGCATGAATGCAATCTACCACTGAGCCACATGTCTGGCATCGAAATGATATTTCTAATTTAGTCTAATTTAATTTCTAATTTAGTCAATGGTCAAGAATCAGGGATGCTATCTCATTTGCCAAGGCGTCGAAAATCAGATGGGCTGGACATGTAATGAGATTTGAAAATGACTGCTGGACTAGAGCCATCACCGACTGGATTCCACGGGATGTCAAAAGATCGTGTGGCCACCCACCTACGAGATGGCCACCCACCTATGAGATGGTCAAGACCCTGAACAATTGGTTTGAAGCTCTTCATGTTCCTAGATTGAGCAGACGCCACTGGGCTACGCTAGCACGCAACAGGGATGAATGAAGATATTACTGGCACCTGCTCGAGCAAATCGATGAGTAATGGGATGTGGAGTGATCAAGGGATCAATTTAGGTTTCAGCGGAAGCGAGGAGCTACTCCCTGCGATGCCCTGGGGACTAGGTCCATTTCCGGGGATTAAAGTGGGGCAACAGGGGCTGGAGCAATAGCATAGCAGGTAGGGCGTTTGTCTTGCACACGACCGACCCGGGTTGGATTCCCAGCATCCCATATGGTCCCCTGAGCACCGCCAGGGGTAATTCCTAAGCACAGAGCCAGGAGTAACCCCTGAGCATCGCTGGGTGTGACCCAAAAAGCAAAGGTAAAGGTAAGGTAAAGGATCTCCCGTTGTTCATCGATTTGCTCGAGCGGGCCCAGTAACGTCTCCATTGGAGACTTTGTTGTTACTGTGTTTGGCATATCGAATACGTCACGGGGAGCTTGCCAGGCTCTGCCGTGCCGGCGAGATACTCTCGGTTGCTTGCCGGGGCTCACCAAGAGGGGCGGAGGAATCGAACTCGGGTCAGCCATGTTGGCTGCGAGCAAGGCAAATGCCCTACCGCTGTGCTATCGCTCCAACCCTGTGGCTCCAGTGGCGCAATTGGTTAGTGCATGGTACTTATAAGACAGTACGCTTGTGAGCCATGCCGAGGTAGTGAGTTCGAGCCTCACCTGGAGCAAAAAGCAAAAAAAAAAAAAAAAAATTAAATAGTAAAATAAAATAAAATAATAAAGTCAGGCAACAGTACCTTATCTCTTACGTATCTCTCCAGCCCTGCAAGGCGTTGGGGTTTTGTTTGGGGGCCACACCCAGCAGCATGCATGACGTGCCTCTGTGCTAAAGGCTCATCCTGAAGACACTCAGGGAACCATATGTAGTTTGGAGAATCAAACAGGGGTCGATCACATGCAAGAGAAGCACCTTAATCTCTGTACTGTTCTAGTTCTTACAATTTTATCTTACAATTTTAAATTCAAATTTAAAAGTTGCTGAATCACGATTATCCAACAACAAAAGCAAATTTAATCCAGAAAGAAAATAAAATAATGATGCCAACCTAAACAAAAAGCAGTAGGTTCTAATCCTGTCAACTGCACCAGGTATTTATAGTCATTAGAATGAAAATCTTTATGATGCTTTCATTGAAAGTCTCCTTTACACATGAATAAAATTTCTGTCAAAACACACTTGTAACATCAACTGCAGTGGTTGTAGCTGATGAATACTGAGACGCTTTTCCCTCATAAAGAAACACAGTTGCTCCCAAACTGCTTCACATGACCCAGCTGCAGCGTGGAGTTGAGGCCGGGCCTGAGCAGGTGCCAGCACTGGTGGAGAGCTCACCTTGTATGCCTGCATCAGCATGTGGCTGACGCCCGGCGCGCCATGGCACCAGTGCACCAGTCGGTCTGTTTCGTTGCTTAATGACGAGGGGTAATTTCCAGAGCGGAATCTTTTGTGGCGCACATAATCAATACTAGGTTTCACCAGTTCAGTCAAGGTTTCTTGGTCCACTTTTGCTTCTGGCTTTAGACAAAATAAATAAATTAAATTAAGTTATTAACTTTTCCTTAGATTAAAAAAAAACAACTCCATAATATTGTGGCCATAATTCCCTGGTGAGCAGAACAGCAGAGTAAGCTTTACTGTTCTTTATTTAGACGTCAGACCTTTTTGTGTTTCAACTCTTGGATGCTTGCAGAGAAGGCCAAAGGCCGGACATTGGATTTCCTCTTGCTCAGGAGGCCTTCAGCACATCATCTATGGCCCCCCACCTTGGGGAGCCCATTTTTACGGAAAGTCCATACACTTAAATGTGAATTTCACATAAAATACCCTCACAGGAACGTTCACAATCATGCTCGGCAGAATCTGGGTCCTTTTTCCTGTCAAATAAGCCACTGAACTCATCACCACTGTAGCACTGTAGAACTGTCCTCCCGTGGTTCATAGATTTGCTCGAGAGGGCACCAGTAACATCTCACAACAAATTATGAGACTTGTGTTACTGTTTTTGGCATATCGAATATGTCACAGGTAGCTTGCCAGTGTGGGCTGAATACTCTCTGTAGCTTGCCAGGCTCTTCGAGAGGGGTGGAGGAATTGAATTCGGGTCAGCCGTGTACAAGGCAAAACACCCTACCCACTGTGCTATCGCTCTAGCCCACTCATCACCACAGCCTCATAAATTTTTTAATGGGGACTTTCAAATGCTTTTTTTCAACTACAAAGATTCCTTGATTTGTAAGGAGGTATGTTCTGTTGAAACCATCCTAAATTTTAAACAGCCTAAGATGTAACAGCCGAAAACATATTCAATCCACATAATTTCTTGAACACTGTGGCTTAGCCTAAACTTCCCTCAGTGTGCTCGGAACATGCACCAGTCTGGAATCAGGAGAATCAAAAACTGTTCACTGTCCCAAAATGTGGGTGCTATCACTGCCCCCTCCCCCAGCCCCCAGCAAGAGGGATGCTACAACAATCAGAGGGGAAAGGAGCCGTGAGTGTAAGCTTGTGTGTGCTGGGTGAGTTACTCAGTGATTTCATTTTCTTGAAGAGGGGAGGCAGACCAAATAAGTTTGGGAACTCCTAACCCAAATGCTCTATTATAATGAAGTTGACTGTCTCAGGCAAATGGGCATTTTATAAACATGATAGGATGTGGACTCGCAAATTCGAGATCCCAGACCTGCTGTTCCTACTGCATACGGCCTTTTACGGGCCTCATGGCCAATGGCTGACAGGAAATGGTGTTTGTGGTAGTTCTCCAGCACTAGGAGAGAGGGCTGGGCCTGTCACAAGAATATTGCCTGTCCTTAGCCCAGAAAAATACACAAGTCCCACAAACTTGAAATACCAAAACTTAAAGAATGGCTTTTACCTAGTGTGTATAGTTTTTGTAATATTGTACAAAAAAAACACAAGCCAGGGGCTTGAGAGATACTACGGCAGGGAAGGTACCTGCCTTGCATGTGATGGACCCAGGTTTGACTTCCATCCCATATGGTCCCCTGAGAAACAAGCCAGGAGTAAGCCCTGGGCACAGCTGGGTATTGCCCAAAAACAAAAAGAAAAAAATCATATGCCAAGTCATCCGAAGTTCTGTTTTATCTGGGCTGTTTCTCAAAAAAATTAAAATAAAAGGAGACTTCAGTGCTCCTATACAGCATAAGCACTGTTCACAGCAGGTGGTGCGATCAGAGCGGGGAGGGGAGAGTCTCCATGCAGCGGGCCCGCAGGCAGGCTTCACCTTCCCCCACTCCTGGCCATCCGAGGTTCCACAGCCTGACAGCTCCAGCCCAGTCCCTTAGTCTCCGTCAAGAGTTAGGGAGGATCGGCCTTCTTATGCAAGCAGGCTAACTGACAGGTCTGTCTGCTCCATATGGGAACTTTCAAGGCAGCCCCTCTGCCTCACCCCAGCCCTCTGGACACACAGCACTTGGCACTTTACGTTCTTGAATTCTAAGGTCGAACTGAACTGCTGGAAATGGCATGCTCCTTTTTGGGTACTCCGTCTGACTGCTCTGCTCTTTCTCATTCTCTCACATTTCTTTCATTAGTGCTCTCATCCCATACACAGCTTGGAGCCCTGGAAGACTTCCTCATTTCAACATTGATGTTTTGTCATCTTTGAGGTTTTTCAGAGAGAGGAATATCATTTTGCGCTCATAAAAGTGAAGCTGTTTGAGGGACAAATAAATTTTTGTGTATTGTTCTGCATCTGCCAAAGGAAACTCACTCGTGGGACCCCCCTCACACAGTGATCAGTCATCCCCTACACTGTTCCACTGCTCAGTTACAGGACCCCTGTTAGGATTCTGCACTCCCAGTTATTCTCTGCAGCATGACACTATTTCATACTGCTGGACCACTGCATGCTGGTATTGCTATACCTTTATGTGAGCATACATTATACTGCTACAAAATTACAGTTACACTGTTATAAGGCTGTTACACACATTATACCCCACATACTGAAATATTACTTGATTCCGCCTTGAACTCTCAGAGGCGCTGTTACTCTATTACACTGTTATTCTGCTCACTCTGGCTGTCACTCACTGCTCAATGTCAGTGTCCCTCTGTCCCACTGTCATACCGATTTTAGCGTGGAACAAGCAAGAACATGTCTGCCTAGGGTTCTGTTCCCTGCAGGTGCTCCTCATTGAAAAAGGAAAACTCTGATCAGCAGGAGGACAAGGACAGGAGGAGAGCGGGCAACATACGTCTAGTGTGGTCTAGGCTGCATAAGAAATGCTCTCGGGCTAATTCAGCGCAGAGCTCCACCACATACTGTGTGGCTCGGGAGTCCAAGGGTCTGCCATTCCAAGTAGGGTTTGTGTTTCATTCCTGCCTGGCTGGTTTGTATGATCATTTCATCTCCCACTTCTAATGCCATACCCTAGTGTGCCACTGTGTCAGCCACTCAGAGAGTCTCTACTCACCTGCATTAACATGTAGTAGATTCCCGTCATGCCGTGTGCTGCCCCCACGTACTGCTTCCCATGCCACTGGTATAACAGGGGACACCGTTCAGTCTTCCTCTCTTCCCTTGACAAACTCTTGCCTGATTCGATAATAGCAGTGACCACCTACAGCCATAATGAGATAGCCTCAGGATGAAAAATATACCTTATAGGTAACTGAGAGCCTAGTTGAAAAATTTTTGAGTGAGCAGCTAACATGGTTGCCTTTCTTACATGTGTAAGAAAAGCGTAAAATTCGAAAGTAGACTATGGACTGAAGATGTTTGCCACTCAATACCTCTTTTGCAGACCACAACACCCAAAAGGAGAGAGAGAACACAGGGGATTGCCCTGCCACAGAGACAGTGGGGGATGGGGGGATGGGGGTGGGGGGATATTATCCATGGTGGTGGAAAATGGGCACTGGTGGAGGGATGGGTATCTGATCATTGTATAATCGAAACCCAAGCACAAAAAATTATAAATCTAAAACTGTAAAAAAAAAAAATAAAAATATATATATATAAAAAAAAGAAAAGCGTAAATTTTTCTTAGTGTAAACTAAGTAGCACTGTAGCACTGTCCACTGTCCTCCTGTTGTTCATCAATTTGCTTGAGCGGGCCCAATAACGTTTCCATTGTGAAACTTGTTGTTACTGTGTTTGGCATATCGAATATGTCATGGGTAGCTTCCCAGGCTTTCCTGTGAGGGCAAGATACTCTCGGTAGTTGCCAGGCTCTCCAAGAGGGGCCGAGGAATTGAACCTGGGTCGGTCAGGTCAGTGGCATGCAAGGCAAACATCTTACCTGCTATGCTATCGCTCCAGACCAGAGAGAAATCAAAAGAAAACCTCAAAATAGAAAGAAGCCTTCAGAAGTTGAAGGAGAGGCCAAAAAGACAGTCCAGGGTTCAGGTGCATGGTGTGCACACTGCTGATGCCGTGGCTCAGTACCAAGTGGGGGCTCTGGTGACCCTGCACTTGGCTGGATTCCTGCATTGAAGGGCTGGTGTGAGAGGCCGCAGATCGGCCTCCTGAATACTGATGAGTCCAGGCCCCCTCAGAGAAGGGAACTATCCAAAGTTCTGTGGACAAATGTATTACTAAAATCTAGGGAAAGCACTGCAAAAAAAAATTGCCTATATTAATTTTCTTCTTAGCTGCAATGTTTCCCCTGAAAGACTGGCAAGTCCATCTTCCAGGGAGACTGGAGGAATCACGTTTATGGAAGTCTAGGAAGGACGGTCTGTGGGGGAGTGCAGCTTTAAATCAGACGGAAGTGGAACATATTCAGAAGGCTGTGTGGCAAAAATGCCAACTGCTTCCTCACATTCATTCCCCCTCATCCTTTTTGTACTAGGGCTCTGGGACAGGAGCAGAAGTGATGAAGGCAGCTGCTAACCTTGTCTCAAAAGGAAATGCTGGTTTCCATGCCCATCCTCACCTGTCCTCGGGGCTACGAGCTCAGGGAACTTTGGTCTTCTAGATACAGTAACACAAGGATATAGGAAATAATACAAAGACAGAGCTCCAATAAACAAAGAGGGCCTGCTCACTGGCTAAGGGTATTTGGACTGTCTACTGATCGAAAGAAATAGGGAAGGAGAAATAATTTGTTTTTTTCTTTCTTTCTTTTAATTAAATGCTGTTTGGTTCTAGTAAAAACAGCCAAAGTAACAGATTGTGTGTTGTGTATGTGTGTGTGTGTGTCCCTACAAAAGGAAAACAAGATCCATTTATCTACTTTATAATAGGTGTTAATAAATTACTCCTACCTAGGAGCAGAAATAGTCCTTACTACAGTTCCATGCTAACAAACAGCTCACGAGCGGCAGCTAGGGAGGAACACCCAGAATCCCACATACCTCCTTAATGGTTGACTCACTCACGGTGCCTGGACCCATTTCGGAGTTGAGATAAAGTAAGGCGTACAGGTAACCTGCCCGCCCGTACAGCAGCTCATCAGGAAGGTCCGAGTCTCGGCAGACAACGGCTCTCTGGAGCTGTAAAAGTCTACCCCAACAAATCAAGTTCTGTTTAGACAGAGAAAGTCTAAGATAGCCCTCCTGAAATAGTACTTATTGTTATTTTAGGAATCATCTATTATTTCAGATTTAAAACATTTGAAAAAACAAATTTCTTCACTAGCCTTAGATGTCTAATGTAATAAAGAGACCTCTTTATGGCCAAACTTTCTACCTTTCTATTTCAAACCATGTAAACAGGAGATACTCAATTTTTCAGTCCAGAATTAGAAAAAGTGATTTAATAGCACTATAATATAGTACTGGAATTTGGTGATTATTCAGTCATTCCACAAACATTACCTCTATCAGTCACTGATACAACCTATATCAGGTACTCAAAGAAAACCAATAGGTGCAATAAAAGTTTATACTACCTAACTACTCATAATTTGCAGGTCTAATCAGCTCAAGGCTGAATCTAAATGGATCTAAGGCATATATGCTAATTTTCATGGGCTGGAGCGATAGCACAGCGGGTAGGGCATTTGCCTTGCACTCAGCCAACATGGCCAACCCGAGCTCAATTCTTCTGCCCCTCTCGGAGAGCCCAGCAAGCTGCCAAGACGTATTCAAGTGACAACAAAGTCTCACAATGGAGACGTTACTGGGCCCACTCGAGAAAATCAATGAACAACAGGAGGACCGTGACCTCATGAAGGCAAACAAAAACTTTTACTTAGGAAAAATAAGATGAAAATAAATGAAAGAAATCTATTCATCACCACAATTAATGCAAATGCATGCTTGGCTAGAAAGGGAGCATCTGATGTTAGCATTACACTCGAGACTGATATATAGACCTCTTCACTTCTTGAAGAGACCTATTTGCAAAGTGTGAATGAATTCAAAACTAATTTCTTTTTAAATTTCTTTCTATAGCAAGAGTCTCAATTGAGCATTTGCAGGAAATGTTTCTAGTTTTAGAAGTCTCACCTTGTGACGCACTCCCGTGCCTCAGTGTCACTTTTGAGTTTGTGATAGGCCACAGCCCCCACAGCCAGGGGCCCGGCATCTCCACAGAGGAAGGTGACTCGGCGTCCACTCAGATTCCGAAGCGTTCTCTTGACATAGTCCAAGGATCGAAGCAGATAGGTCTGATCAGACGTGACCCGGTGCAACTGCAGGTACAGAAGGGCTATGCCTGGAATGATGCCCACCCAGAAGAAAAGCATTACTATCTTTCCTGAAGGAAATTACCTTGTGATTCCATGTGAAAGTCTCATTTACATAAACTGTTTCTGAAGGGGCAGAAACAAAGTATCTATCACATATTTCTGGAAAAACAGGGAGCTGAGGAGGGGAAAAGAGAGTAAAACAAAACAAGCTTAAGTTTTCTCCTACATATAATAATTTTCTTTTTTTTTAATGTAGGAGTATTGCTATTTATTCTGCCATTGATTAGGCTGATTGAATTGGTCATGAACTCCACAATAATTTCTCTCTCTCTCTCTCTCTCTCTCTCTCTCTCTCTCTCTCTTTGCTTTTTTGGGTCATACCCGGCGATGCTCAAGGGTTACTCCTGGCTCTGCACTCAGGAATTACTCCTGGTGGTACTCGGGGGACCATATGGGATGCTGGGGATCGAATGCAGGTCGGCTGCCTACAAGGCAAACGCCCTCCCTGCTGTGCTATCGCTCCAGCCCCCAATAATTTTCTCTTATCCCAAATTATTTATTTTTTCTGGATTTCATGCCCTCTTGTTTTCTAACTCTTTACTTCTCACAACTTTCAAAGTTTCCTTATGACTATTAAAATGACCAATAAGTGGCCCCTGAGCCAACTCATCATTTAGAGTAGCTGTCTAGTACACATAAGGTGTACAGAATACAGAGCTGATGTCATTTATCACTGTTTCACTGTAGGTTAAAGAACTATTCCTTTAGGGGCTTCCCTTGCATGCACCCCACCCCTCTCAGATCCCTAGTACCACATATGGTCCCCTGAGCGCTGCCAGGGATCACTCCTGAGCACAGAACCAAGAATAGCTCCTGAGCACCACCACCCTTACCCCCTTGCCCCCCCATACACACACACACACACACACACACACACACACACACACACATCTGTCTCTCTGTCTCTGTCTCTCTCTGTCTCTCTGTCTTTCTTCCTTTAATTCAATATCCAGAGTGGGTTCTTCTGACCCTCTCTGGATGGCTCTAAGTATGGTCTTTGTAAAAGTATACTTAAAACTACAATGGCAGAAAAGTAATGACATAAAAGGCGAATGGCTCAAACAGACAAGACTGAAGTTCTCTATTACTCTGTTCTTTGTTTAATGTCCTACTTTCACCTTTACTGTTGCTCAGTATGCTCCTTGCATTTTTCCATTTAAGTAGCCCTTCTGTTCACTGACTATCCTATTCAAAGCATACAACTTCCCTTTCAAGGTAATTCTTATTCCTCTCACCAGACTCTAGACCAGAGGGTGCATACAGGAGGAACTGAAGTTGAACTCACGCTCTGAGCTTGCCAGGAACATGCTCTAGTTCATGCCATGGAGACGTCTTCTAGGGTCCTCTCACCAGGAACCAGAAGGCAGGATTATCCTGACATCTGTGCCATATGGGGGCTTGAACTCAAGACCGTGTGCTTGTTACAGAAGTGTGTTAATGCATTTGGCCATCTTCTGGGTCCCTTTCCATCTTTAATAATTTTCAGACACCTCTTTTACCATAAGTATATGGTTAAAGATAGAGTCAAATGTTTTAAAAAGGAGCATATTTTAAATCCTGAAAAAATATCTTTCCAAATGAATTGTCTATAATCTCCTTAGTGAGGACAGTATTTTAACTATCAAAGCTAATTATTAGTTATGACTGAGTTATTTTTCATGAACTTTAATGCCTTTGATACCTGTATTATCTGTTTCATAAAATAATGTTAATTATTGCTTACTTTTTTATTTTCTGAACTAATTCAAAAATAGCCAAACTAGATGAACTACTTGAAAAGCACCAGAATTTCCTGTTCTTTAAAACAATATTATCTTTTTACTAATTTTATTCTTTGGGCTGGAGCGATAGCACAGCGGGTAGGGCGTTTGCCTTGCAAGCAGCCAACATGGCCGACCCAAGTTCGATTCCTCTGCCCCTCTCAGAGAGCCCAGCAAGCTACCGAGAGTATCTCGCCTGCACAGCAAAGCCTGGCAAGTTACCCGTGACGTATTCGATATGCCAAACACAGTAACAACAAGTCTCAAAATGGAGATATTACTGGACCTGCTCGAGCAAATCGATGAACAACGGAGGACAGTGACAGTGATAGTGATTAATTTTATTCTTTACCCCTATTTTTACTGAGCACCACCAGAAGCTCCCACAGAAGCTGACTTGCAGCAGCTTCTGATCACAGCAGGTGTATGAGAAAAACTTCCAGAAATAAAAATTTTTTTTTAATTTTTTTACGCAGCCAACATGGCCGACCAGAGTTCGATTCCTCCGCCCCTCTCGGAGAACCTGGTAAGCTACCGAGTATATCACCTGCACGGCAAAGCCTGGCAAGCTCCCCGTGACATATTCGATATGCCAAACACAGTAACAACAAAGTCTCCAATGGAGACGTTACTGAGCCCGCTCAAGAAAATCGATGAACAATTGGAGGACAGTGAAAGTAGTTCACGATATCTGATTACGTTTAATATTCAAACACCAATCCCCCCACCATTACACCTTCCCATCATCATCCTTCAGATGATTCTATCCTGAACCCCCCCCCGTCCCTGTCCCAAAAAATAATCGAAATAATACATTTTGTACTCTTGTGAAAAATTGCTGAAAATGCTACAAAAAAGTATCCTTAGAGGAAAAAGTGTGAAGATTATTGTATTTCACCCAGGGGCTACTAAAACCATCTATAAGTCTATAAAAAAAAATTCCCTCTAAGATTGGTTACCTCCTACTCTGACATCCAGATTGCACGTCCTTATCTCCCAGAAGGGAGTATAACATGATACTTGCCATAACCATGCCGGTGGATCCCGCACCAGGCTGTTTCACTCAGGACACCCTGGAGGGGGCTGGGTGAGACCCCTCCCCACCCCAAGAACTCAGTCCTGGCAGCTGAAAACCTCCAGAACTCACCTGCCTGCACACTCTCCACATGCTCGGGCTGAGCCTCGCCCATGAGTGAACCTATTCCTAGACTGTATGACTTCTCATAGGACACACCCTACTCAAACGCCAGTAAAATTTTTTAAATAGAATCTTTTTAAAATTATTGGCATAAAGTCCTGATATATCTTAGACTATTAGTATTTGCTCCTATATTGTAAGTCACCTTTCTGTTTCATTATTTACACTGAATTTATACATAGGACTTATCAATAATTCACAAACTTTCCCTTTTCTTTTTCATCAGTTTTCAATACAAATGAAGGAGTTTCATACAACTCTGGTAACATCCTCTGGAGAAAATGTTCCTCCATCATTATACTGGAACATATATCTTTTCTTTTAAATTTTTATTAGTGAGACACCATGAGGTACTGAGCACCACCAGAAGCTCCCACAGAAGCTGACTTGCAGCAGCTTCTGATCACAGCAGGTGTATGAGAAAAACTTCCAGAAATAAAATTTTTTTTAAAATTTTTTTAACGCAGCCAACATGGCCGACCAGAGTTCGATTCCTCCGCCCCAATAATTCACAAACTTTCCCTTTTCTTTTTCATCAGTTTTCAATACAAATGAAGGAGTTTCATACAACTCCTTACAAATTTTTGTGCTTGGGTACCTCATTCTCACTCCCACTTCTACATCAGTGACACAAAAAGCCCTATCTGACAACTTAGATGCCATTGGATATATCAGGAAGAAAAACTATTAAGAACAGAAGTCACCGAGAGATGAGGATAACACTTGTCATATATAGTTGTCACACAGTACATATGAATATACAATTAGAACCTTAGTATGCAAATATACGACAATATGACTTTTAATTTACTTAACTAAAAATTCAAAGAATTGACCACTTTAAATTATTTCAAGTGACCAGTAAGTCAATATTCTATTTTAAAGTGTCAGACATAATCATTACAACTGTTTTAAGAAGAAGGAGATTACAAATATCCCATTTTTAATCGATGTTTTGTTTTTAGGCCACCCCCAGCGCTACTGAGGGCTTATTCCTGGCTCTGTGCTCAGGGTTCATTCCTGGCAAGACTCAGAAATTATGTGGTGTCAGGGATCAAACCCAGGTCAGCTGCCAGCAAGTTAGGTGTCCTATCCACAGTACTATAACTCTGACCCACAAATATTTCAATCTTTTACAAAATGACTTTGACAATTACTAACAAAGCACATGAGTGTTAAGTATTCAGAACATATTAGCAAACAAAAAACTCAGGAACATTCATGAAAGAACAGCAAGTCTCTACAGTTAAATAAGTATGATGTGTATCAATAAGGATACCAAGCAAAGGAGGGTGCATAGGTACAGACTTTGATAAGGAATCTGGAAAATTCTTTTTTTGTTTGTTTGTTTGCTTTCTGGGTCACACCTGGTGATGCACAGGGACGGGGGTTATTCCTGATGGTGCTCAGGGGACCATATGGGATGCTGGGAACTGAACCCAGGTTGACCATGTGCAAGGTAAACGTCCTATCCGCTGTGCTACAGCTCCAGCCCCAGATTTGGAAAATTCTTATACATTCTTATGTTACGATTCAGATGTGTGTACTAGATAAATGGGGTTTCAATGAGGGCTATTCCTTACTGAAAATTAAGGGAAAAAGCCTTCTGGTTATAAGATCTATGAGTAGAGTGTTCTGATGATTTTTATAGAAGTTACCATTATTAGCTGAGTCTGTCATGTATGGCCTCTGTTAGGATGATGTGTGCACCTCCCACACCCAGCTTGTTTATGGTTTACATCACGAAGGGAATTTGTATTTTGTTGAATGCTTTTTCTGCATTATTAATATGATCAAAGCATTTTTATCATTCATTAATATAGGACATTGAATGGTTTATGTTTGTACCCAGGGATAAACCCTTCTTAGCCTTCATGTATAATCCTTTCATCATACTCTTGAACTGTCTATAATACTTTGTGTGAATTTTACGTCTGCATTTATCATGGATATTAACTTACTTTCCTTGCTTTTTTTTTTTGGTGGGGGGTGGGTTTTTTTTGGGGGG